CAAAGACCCCAGCTTCTGGGATAAGAACCCACTCTTTGAAAAAAACTGCTGGGAAAACTGGAAAAGAGTATGGCAGAAACTAGGCATAGACCCAAATCTCACATATACCAAAATAAAGTCAAAATGGGTTCATGACTTAGATATAAAGGCTGATACCATAAGTAAACTGGGAGAACAAGGAATAGTTTACCTATCAGATCTATGGAGAACAGAAGAATTCATGACCAAACAGGAGATAGAGAACATTATGAAAAGCAAAATGGATAATTTTGATTACATTAAATTGAAAAGTTTTTGCACAAACAAAGCCAATGCAACTAAGATTAGAAGGAAGGTAGAAAATTGGGAAAGAATTTTTACAACCAGTCTTCTGATAAAGGCCTCATTTCTAAAATATATAGAGAATTAAGACAAATTTATAAGAACACAAGCCATTCCCCAATTGAGAAATGGTCAGAGGATGCTCTAAATCGTTATTGATTAGAGAAATGCAAATCAAAACAACTCTGAGGTACCACATCACATGTATCAGATTGGCCAACACGACAAAACAGGAAAATGATAAATGTTGGAGAGGATGTGGGAAAATTGGAACACTAATACATTGTTGGTGGAGTTGTGAAATGATCCAAGCATTTTGGAGAACAATTTGGAACTATGCCCCAAGGGCTACAAAACTGTGCATACCCTTTGATCCAGCAATAGCACTTCTAGGGCTATATCCCAAAGAGATCAAACAAATGGGAAAAAGACCCACATGTACAAAAATATTCATAGCAGCTCTTTTTGTGGTGGCAAAGAATTGGAAATTGAGAGGATGCCCATCCATTGGGGAATGGCTGAGCAAGTTGTGGTATATGAATGTAATGGAATACTATTGTGCTATAAGAAATGATGAACAGGCTGACTTCAGAAAAACCTGGAAAGACTTATATGGTCTGATGCTGAGTGAAGTGAGCAGAACCAAGAGGACTTTGTACACAATAACAGCCACGTTATGCAGTGACTAAGATTGTTAAACTGAACCCTTCTCAGCATTACGAGGATCTAAGACATCTCCAGAACCTCGGGATGGAAAATGCTGTCCACATCCAAAGAAAGAACTACAGAAGTTGAATCGCTACCACTTATTTTTACTTTCTGTTGAGTTTTGTTTCATTTTTCTGATAGTTCTTCCTATTGGTTTTAATTTTTACTTACAACTTTACTAATGTGAAAATATGTTTAATGGGTATGTAAATGTACAGCCTGTATCAGATTGTGCGCCGCCTTGGGGAGAGTGGGGGGGAGGAAGGGGGAGAAAAATTTTCAACTCAAAAGCATGTGGAAGTGATTCTTGATAAATCAAAATAAATTAATAAAATTAAAAAATATATTTGGTCGTATCTCATACCATCCTCATTTTAGGAATAGTGCAGAAATAAGTACAGAATGAAGCAAGCTCCCAGTAAGAAAAATTTAATGTATTTTGTATGTGCAAATCATTCTGAAATAACACATTGTGACTATAATCTGACTGTATTTTGTAGTAATGATGAACTTAACATAAGGGATTTGATGACAGTTTTGTGTGAAACTTTTGGAAAGAAAGGTAAACTAGGAAACACTTGGTAGACTATAATGGTTATAACCTGTTTTGCAACTATATAGGCAGTTCAGAAGTATTCCACAAACAAGGGCTTTAAAAATATTTTAAATCTTTATTTTAAAAAGATTCTGTTTCAAAAATTATCATAACTACAAACCTTGTACTGATAGAAAAACAAGATTTGTTTTTAGTAATTAATAATTTTCCGTAGAAAACAGACACAGGATATTCTGATAAAAAAATTTTCAGAAATAAATTGGTAGAAAAAGGGGAAATTATTAAAGTGCTAACAAAATTCAGGTAAAGAAAGGTAGGTTTTCTGATTGTGAATATATACTGTATCTGGAGTTATTAAACATTTCATATGTTTAATCGTTAGGGAAATGTTACTCTACTAGAATCCTAAAATGTGTTGTAGAGTATTCATATAGATAAACGAGTAAGGAAATTTTGGACCTGGCTATCATGGCATATTTTTACCAGAGGCATACTTATATCAAAATATGAAAATAGTAGAAATTAATAAAAGGTATTGAAGATTCGCAAAAAGTGAAAACCTCTCAAATGACGAAGAAGATATTTAAGCAAAACCTACTGATAGCATATGCAACATTGTGTCTTAATTCCTATAGTCTATTTTTTTCATAGACTAAAGGAGATATATGTGCCATTATCTAGTCTCTAAAATGATTATTTTATTTTTAAAATTGCAGAGTTTGACATCTTTTAGTGATCACATATTTTAAATTGTCATTTTGCATTTTTTCCTTGTGGCCTTAATTATTTCCCTTTACATACATAAATCTTGGAGTTCTTTTTTCCCCAAATTCTTTATAATTTGATATTTAAAGCCTTTTATAACCTGGCCTCTCTAATCATTCAGTTTGTCAGTCCCCTCCCTGTGCTCTTCAGTCATTAACATCGTCCTGTTCTTTGGTCAGTACATTCATTCTTCTGACTCTTGGCATTTTCTCTCTGCGTTCTCCAGGTTTGGCATGCTTTCTGCATCTATAACCCTAGTTTTCTTCAAATCCCTCCTAAAATCTCACCTCCCACAAGAGACCTTTCCTGATCCTTCTTAATTTCTACTGCCTTCCCACTAGTCATTATTTTCAAATTTTTCCAATATATAAATTATTTGCAAGTTACTTCTGCCTTTAGACTACAAGTTTTTGAGAGAAAGGATTGTCTTTTACCTTTCTTTGCATTCTTAGTTCTTAGCATAATACCTAGCAAATAATAGGTGTTTAATCAATGTTTATTGATTGACAATTTATCTCACCTGCAGTTACATAGCTTCATCAATGGTTTTGTCTACTTTCTTGATTCTGAAATATTTTTACCACTTAATTACTCCCTCCTTCTAATTATTTTCTCTCTTTTTTTTTTTTACCTTTCATGGGACTCTGTCATGATTCTTCTATGCCTAATTCTCTTATTACCTTTCTTGCTATTTCCCCTATCCTTCTGACTATACTACTTTGTTGATTCATCATTTCCCTAATTGTTGTTATTCTCCATATTGCTGTCCTACACTCTCCTCTTTTTCTTCCAGCACTCTTTCTCTTATAGTGATGGACTGTGAATCAGGAATATCTCAGCTTGATTATATTAATAGATGAAGAAAATATCTCTTTTTAAATTTATTTTGATTTTTCAACAATCACTTCCATAAGCTTTTGAGTTTTAAATTTTTCTCCCCCTCCCTCTTCACCTCCTTCCCCGAGATGGTGTGCAGTTTGATATAGGCTATACATATATATTCCTATTAAACATATTTTTCACACTAGTGATGTTATAAGGAATAATTAGAACCAATACGAAGAACCACCAGAAAGAGGAAACAAAACACAACAGAAAGAAAAAAAATAGCAAATAGTATGCTTCAATCTGCATCAAACTCCATAGTTCTTTCTTTGGATGTGGATAGCACTTTCCATCACGAGGCCTTTGGAGATGTCTTAGATCCTTGCACTGATGAGAAGGGCTAAGTCTATCAATATTAGTCATCGCACAACGTGGCTGTTAACTGTTAAACACTCAAATCAACTACAGAGGACCTATGAAGGAGTAAGAAGTAACAAATAATAGTATGTATAGTATAGTTTTACATATGTTTATAAATCTATCAAATGGTGTCCTTCTCTAGTGCAGAGTAGGAAGGAGGGAAGGAGACAGTTTGGAACTTCAAATGTAACAAAGAAAATAACAATTTATTATTAATAGATTTGATATTATGAAAACCTCTCAAATGACAAATACATAATCTATTCGGTGAAGATTGAATTGGAATGGTGAGATGTAAAATGGTAAGACCAATTGAAAGGCTATAGAAAGATGATAAGAGATTTATCTATGTAGTTTAAAAGAATAGAAGAGATTGGAGAGAAGTGAAAATGATTTAGAAGGTGATTGTGCATGTGGAATATATGAGTAGGAATTGAGAATTGACACCAAGGTTGCACATAAGTGATAGGAAAGCTGAGGATAGGTGGGTTCTGTGTTGTGGTAATATTCAGTTTATAGGCTAACTAGTTCTAAATGTCCATTACTGGGGCATCACACTGGGGCATAAGAATTCAGCAGAGCTAGGTGGAATGCTGGGCCTACAGACAGGAAGACCTGAGTTCAAATCCAGCATTAAAAGTTACTCTCTTTGTGACTCTGGGCAAGTCACTTAGCTTGACTTCCTTAATTTCCTTATATGCAAAATGTGCATAATAAGTTATTTCCTAGAGTTGTTTTGAGGATCAGATGAGATATTTGTAAAGTGCTCAGCACAATGTGTTGAATATAGTAGATTTTATATAAATACTAGCGATGATGATGATAATGATGATGATAGCTAGCCAAGATATAGTAGTGTGGATTTACGTTTTATTCGTAAAGATCAAAGTATGAGAAAAAATAACAGAGGAAAGGAAGTTATACCTAAATAAGTAATTGTGAAAAATAGTAATGAAAGCCATTGCTGGTAAAAGGGTGGGAAGTGTTTAGAAAGAATGGTATTAAATAAGTTATGTAATCATAAAGAAAAAAATTGTAAAGTGAATTAATGATTCCAAATAAAAACGTTCTAGTATTCTAGAGTCATCTCACAATTAGATTTTCCAGGTTCTAACCTTGATCTAGACACAGTTGTGCATCTGCTGTTTTTCCTACTCCTAAACTTTTATCAACTTTTCCTGTATAGGCAACCCTTGTCTTGTATTTGATATATTTCTCTAATAAGTATTGAGTCACAAGTAATAAGATCTTTTTAATGTCAATAGTTTTACCTCCCTCCAAATCTATTAAACATTTATGATATATTTAGATTCTTGTTGAAACTCTAGACCGTGGTATTCATGACTTTCTCTAGTGAAAAAATTTGAACATTTTAAACTTTAACTTACATGCCTTTTATTATCAGGAACAGGAAGTACTAGAGAAGGAGGAAGAGGAAAAGGAGGAACAAAACTCTTCCAGGATTTTCAAATATTAAGCAGAATTTGGACTCATCCATGGTGCTTACAGCTGGACTATATTAGCAAAGAAAACAAGGTAAATTAGATATTCATACTTAAGTATCTATTTAGTAGTCTGATTTCATTCCAACTCATTTTCTCCAGTGTTTCTCCCTGTATCATCCTCACTATTTATTTATAGTTTTCAGCATTTTGAGTTCCAAATTTTCTTCCAATCTCTTCCCTCTCCTCCCCAAGACACTGTGCAGTTTGATAGAGGCTTATACATTTATATTGAACCTATTTTCACATTAGTCATGTTGTAAAGAAGAATTAGAAACAACGTCATCCTCACTCTTTTAATGATCTTCATTCTCTCCCTGTCTCCTGATGCTTTCCTATTCCATATAAACATGTCTGTGTTTCCCCATTCTCAAAAAATGTGCCTGATCTAT